AAGCACGATGGCCGACGTTCTCCGCCCATACGATCAGCAAAGACTACGGCTGTGAACGAAGTCCTAAGCTGTGAATTGATGCCACTATCACTCTCACTGCCTAATAAATTGTGATATTCACATAGATTAATTCATCTTACTTGAGAGTTCAAGCTGACTCTGTTTTAGCGGTGGCCGGTCGACTACCGGGACGTTGCCTGCCAGGCGACTTCGACTGTGGATTCGGCCGCTGCGTACCAGTCACTTCATTCCATGATGGTAAACCGGACTGCTACGACGGCAGTGACGAATGTACGTCATAATCGTAATTGTGTATAAATTTTTTCCGAATTTTACTTCTTCTGAAACTCATCATTTCAGGGTGCTTTTTCGGTCAAGTCAAATGCGGCGCGTATTGCGTTGATGTGTCACAGGCGTTCAGCTGCTTGTTCTCATCCAGATGTGACGACTCTAGCCGTCAACCACCGTGGTGTTCCGTATCGAGTGAGCATTCCATTGAACTCGTTCATGCTGTGAGCAGGACCGCTTACAGCAGTCTTAGGGTGTAATTTAGGCCACTACATTGAAAAAATTCAACGTTCAATAGACTGCTCCCTCACATTGCATGTTTGAGGACCACTGCCAGACCCGCTCTCTGTTCAACAATTTTTATTGAACGATTTCCATGACAGAATAGCAATCATTTATTCAAAGATCTTGAATTTGGAAGGAGAATAATTCAGATTTCCGATTGTGAAAAACTTCGAAATAAAACCGTGAAATCAAGCGTGTAGGAAAGCTCAATACCGGTTTGGTGTAAAAGCGCCAGGTCGGGCCTCCGAGATGGGAATATTGGGCAGGGAGTGTGCCGAGGCAAGTGCGACGAAATATGCGCTGTAAGCAGGGGACGTATGCAAGAGGACCCAATCCACTCAACGTGGCAGTGCTGCGGCCCACCCACTCTTTTGACTGTCTCTGAGTTGCGCCTCTTGAGTCGTCCAGCTCTCTATGTGTTGTCATTAGCCAAGGAATACCCTTCTAGCGCGATACCGCGACTTGAGAGTAACGCTTCTGAGCGGAGAAGACGAGTACGTGGTAAGACATTGTATCATAGTATGCCGCGCTGGTGGGTGTGACGAGCGGCACTGCTCTTGCCGACGAGTTTTCCTACCTGGCAATTTGATTTTGAGTGTTAAAGGGACGGACACACTCGATATCGCCCGTTGTGGAGTCTTGTCCGGGCCTCAATTCATATGAGTTTCGCTGCGACAAATTGACACTTGCTGAGAACTTGACGAACTCTGATTGTCCTGCCCGTCTCCCCAGGGATACTGTCTGATTCGCGCGACATATCGCGCTACGGATGTTCTGCATACACCTGTAGTTTCACAATGAAGGGAGGTCAACATAAGCATCACCGCTAAAGCGTAAACTCGCTCAAGTCCCTTTTCAAAGTGTAAGGTGTCTTCTATTCCTAACGATGACATTCAGCTGATGTAAAAATGAAGAACAAACTCAGTGCATAAGTTATCGAAAGACACTGTGGAGACTGTCTAAACAAACAACTTTTCAGAGGAAAAGCTATGCGGAGAGCCGAGTGCATTTCCATGTCGTGGATATGGCGAGTGCGTTCTGTGGCCATGGTTGCTCGACGGTGAAAAACACTGCATCGATGGCAGCGACGAAGGTTTCCTTTTCTTTCCTATAGTAGTGAAAAAGTCACTGAATAAGATCCAGCATTGATCTATCAAGTGAGGACTATTTCTGCACCTGAGGGGTCGTGAACCATGAGAATTTTTATGTAAACTTGCGGAAAGAGAAATTCTGGGATGGGTAAATCTCTTCTTCCACTCCTGGGCTCGGTGGGTAGAAATTCAGGCTGCGTTCACACTTTGCGGCAGCGTCCACCATCGACCAATAGCGCCCACAGCGTTCCGAGCGTCCGTCAGCGACTCGGAAGGATAGATATCGATCTAGCGTCTGCCAGCGTCTGCAAGCGCCTAATAACGTCCCCAGCGTCTTTAGGGCTAGGGAAGTATAGGTGCTGATCTACCGTCTGCCAGTGATAAACATTTATGGGCGCTGGCAGACGCTGGATCAATATCTACGTTTTTCTAGTCGCTGACGCTGCCGGACGCTCGGAACTCTAGCGGACGCTATTGGTTGCTGTAGGAGCTGCCGCAAAGTATGAACGCAGTAGACGCCTGGTGGACGCTGCCGCAAACAGGGTACAGCATCGTTTGTGAAACACAGATAGGGGGTCGTAAATCTTCCGCTGGAGTGGAGTGTCGTTTATTGCATCGTTGGAGAGGGCGATCGTATGGCCTTCGTGAGAGGAACTTGCTGCGTAGAAATAGGGCAAAATTTTCCTGACGTTGTTGACTTTTTCGCGTGGATTAATTTTAGGGAAAGTTTATGGAAAACAGTCGGGCTAGAAAGATAGGGAAAATCGAGATTTGCCGTGTTCACACTAGGATAATTTACCCAGCAGAAAACTTTGGCGTGAAAAACTTGAAGAAATATGGGAATCGGATAGGAAGTGGAGAAGGGGTCGGAGCGACGAACCCCCATTTAGGAGGCGGCGGGGGTCGTACTGACACCACCCATTTCACACATCACGATGCTGTACCGTGGCCGCAAAATATGAACGCAGCCATATCTGACGGTAGAAGTCTCATCTCAAATAAGCAGTTCAATCTGGGGCTTTTTCTTAGCTGTCACTCCCACTGGCACCGAATTGCAGGAAAAGACGGTCCCCCGCAGCGTCCTTGAAGGAAGTATTGGGAAAAATCAAGAAGAACAATACCTGCTTCTTCTTGTTTCGCATATTGATCTCCCAATGCTTTATAGGATTCCCAGATGGTTGGTTGGATGCCGATCGAATGTGTTGATACTTGACGCACAATGGCTGGCTAAAACGGATGTTTCTTCAAGATTTGAATGTTTAGCTCCACCCTAAAGATGCCATATCTTACCTCATTAGTTTCGTCATTTCGATGAACTTCTACAGCGGCTGGAAATGTTGGCGGAGGAGGTTGAGATGCAGGTGAAGGTGCAGGTGTAGGTTGTGACGGATTCTGTGTAGTAGTTGGAAGCGATGAATACGATTCAGATTGTGGAATTGATTCTGTTGTAGGTACTGTCGTTGGGGCTGGTGCAGGAACAGGCACTGATGTTTCTTGCATGATCGGTGGGCTACTGACTATCGACGGAGTAGAAACAGTTGGAACTGTCTGCAAAAACGAATACTGAAAAGGAGTGGTGACCAAACGACACACCTATCTCATTGTAACGTTTTTGAATGAGTACGCAAAATTGCTCCCCCTTGAATTCAGACAGTTTACAATGGCCAACAGAACGAATAAACTCAAAAATAGAACGACACAAAACGATGCAGCCAAAGTCCTCAGCCCACTTCAGCTGCAATCAGTAAAATATAATTTTTAATTCTTAGCTTCAGAATAGCGGTTGGAGAGTGGAGGGGGCGGGGGACGGTGGACAGGTGCGTCACAGTCGCGTTATGGCCTCGCGTAATAGGGACCACTGCGATGATAAGCTATGTTTTGTTAGATGGCCGTTTGACAGTCCCATGTGACCGTATCGCCCACGCTGATAGCTTCCCGAATAGCTCCCATGCAACAGAAAAAGGGGACAATTGAAAACGAATTTGTCTCTTTGTTACGACTTCGTCAAACTCACTTATCATCGGAATGTAGAGAACGTTATTTTTTTCAGATGCGATTCTAAATTGTTGTTGAAAGTACACATTGTCTCAATGTCTGTTCTTTTCAGAATTATCAGCGAAATTCCCCAAGGATCAAGTAACTTCTCAGAAATTCCGAGCCGATTTTCTTTGCAGAATAATTTTTGAAAATTTCCTCACATTCGTTTTTTCTGGTACAGTAAGCGATTGTTGTGAAGCGGATTTCATAGCCAGAATATCTCTTCCTTCCGAAACGCTTTTTTCTGGTGACGACGATTGTACAGCGATTGCAGGAGAAGAATTAACCTGAGGAGTTATCGATCTTCCCATGTCTGTTTCCAGAATAAAAATACCTACGATACCTTGTCAAGAATGGGCGTTTCACCGACATGAGGTTGTACAGTACCAGGGATGGACTCGATTTCTCTCACGGTATTTGACATACCATTGGCTGTTACAGGCCGTTGAGCAGAATTTGCAGAATGGTTGATTACGGTCGCCGACGTCAGCTGCAAAAATAGCAGTAAAAACATATTTCGTCTAAAACAAGTAAATAAGCTGAGAAGGAAAAA